AGCATACGATTTGCCTTGAGTTGTCAAGAAATTAACCCCTAAAAATCCAAAGACCCACCTGAGGCCCAAAAATGATCCCCTTAAGAGGGGGACAGTACCCTCCTCCTTAATTTCTCTTTGGTCTCAAAATTGACTTAGATTCTCCAGAAAAAGACGGTTTCCCAGGTAATCGACCTCGAGAAATCCGAATTTCATGGTCCCGAAGCTCTTCTAACTCCTCTTGAGGGGTAAACGGGGGGACCCAATTTTAAAAATCGGAGCTCCTTTCCGAATCGCAAAATGATTGCATCCAAATTGAGGAGCAGAACACATTTACATCTTAAAGGACTCCTAAGAGTTCTAATAGACCCCCTGAACGGCAGAAAGTAACTCCCTGAGGAGGGGAGCTTCGCCCGCCAAAAATTTCTCAGGATTCCTCTTTGGTCGCAAAATTGACGTCGATTCTCCAGAAAAAGACGGTTTCCTATGTAATCGACCCCGAGGACTCTATATTTCATGTTCCCTGAGCTCCTCGGGGTCGATTACATGGGAGACCGTCTTTTTCTGGAGAATCGACGTCAATTTTAAGACCGAAGAGGAATCTTGAGAAATTTTTGGCAGGGGCGAAGCCCCCCTCCGCAGGGAGTTACTTTCTGCCGTTCAGGGGGGTCAATTAGAACTCTTAGGAGTCACTTAAGATGTAAATGTGTTCTGCTCCTCAATTTGGATGCAATCATTTTGCGATTCGGAAAGGAGCCCCGATTTTTAAAATTGGGCCCCCCGTTTACCCTCCAACGGGAGCTAGAGGAGCTTCGGGACCATGAAATTTGGATTTCATGAGGTCGATTACCTGGGAAACTGTCATTTTCTGGAGAATCTACGTCAAAACCGAGACGAAAGAGAAATTATGGAGGGGGGGTACTGTCCCTTTCTTCGGGGGTCATTTTTTTTTGGGCTTGGATGGTCCAATTTGAATTTTTAGGGGTCAATTTCACGTGAAATTTTCCGGGCTTTTCAAGTCTGATGCGATCGATCCGCAATTCGGTCGGGAACCGTGACTTTTAGCATCGTGACCCCCCCTTTACCTCCCAAGGGGGGGTGGGGGGGTTTCGGGACCACGAAATTCGGATTCCTTGCGGTCAATCCGCTACTCAACCCTCCAGTCTCTGACTTCGTACGACCTATACCAACCGAGAGAAAGGCCTGGTTCGGGTGGTCTGAAACACCCTGTAGGGGGGTCCGACCTTTTAAATGCCTCAAATCGACAAATTTCACCTGAGTAGTCGCAGTTGAAAACAGGTCTAAAATCATCAGTCTGTCTCTCTCTACGGCCGTTTAGCTGTTTACAGACAAGATTGAGGTTAGAATCATCTTGAATTTTTACATTTTTCTCGTTGAAACTCATGATATTCCCTCTTAACAAGTAAAACTTATCAAGACAAGCTAGTTTCCAGTATCATCAAACTATTTCTATGCGCTCATGGATCGACAGAGTCTTAATTAGTGATGAGTATGGCTTCGTGGTGAAGCGTTACCATATTACATACAGCATTTTTTCAATCAACGCTCAGTCTAGCCTTAATGTGGTGGTTGTGGTCAATTTTTTCCTCTCTACTGCACGACCTTACGCTCATAAACGGAGACAGTAATAGAAAAGTGATGACTTGAGTTTTTCCTCCTCTGAATCTCATGGTTTTGTATCTCTGTCTCCGAAGTCATCAGGGGTCGTCTTGCTCCCCAGCTATGAAGATTTCTTCAGATCGCTCGCTCAGTCTGCCTCCTATGTGAAGTCTGATCATGCTTTAGTTATGACCAGTAAGATCCTCTTTGCTTCAGCATACTTAAAAGTGTATTTTGCAGTTGGAAAATACAGTGTTTTTCTCGCAGCGTCCGAACTACACTTTTCTCATTTGACGGCTAACAGGAGCTCATGATGTGAGGGACTGCACAGCATAATAGATCAGATCATCCAGGACATCATCATGCCTTTCTAGAACTCTTGTTGTTTATAAGATTAATGGGCTCCATTAATTAATGTGTAACATTGTTGTGGAAAAGCGCGTTGATAGTCCGTCAGAGCATCGGAAGAGGATTCTCTTTCACTTCAAGCCTGGCACTCCATCTGCAAGATCCTATGTCCTCCTCGAGACAGTTCCTCTACCAAGTTAGGTATTCATTCGCAGAATATACAGCAAACGTCTTCTCCTACGGTAAGTATATTTAAGTCAATACGGAACATGTGGCAAGATGATTAGATCTTGGGCAGCATGCGTGCCAGATTGTTCCAATGCAAATCTCAATTTAAGTTTCCTCCTATTAGTTTCATGGTTTAAATTCATAGAGAAAATTTAAAGGCTTAAACAAAGCGTAAGTTCTAAACGCAACAACACTATACAACATTGGGTCTGGAATACTGGGTCACACGTTGTCATTTCTGGTGCTCAAAGCTTTAAATTTCATGCATTTCTCTTCTCTCATTATCTTCGGTATTTTTTACCAAAACCTTTTTCCCATTTACTTCCCTCTCCAAAGGAGACTGAATCTGATTCAAAACCTCTCAGTCATAAGTGGATAAATTTATCAAGTCATGGGGGAAGTTGACTTTTAAAACTTATTAGCTGGTTTATGTATGTACTTACCGTAGGAGATGGCGTTTGCTGTATATTCTGCAAATGAATAACTTGATAAAGGAACAGGCTTGAAGTGAAAGAGAATCCTCTTCCGATGCTCCGACGGACTATCAACGCGCTTTTCCACAACAATGTTACACATTAATTAATGGAGCCCATTAATCTTATAAACAACAAGAGTTCTAGAAAAGCATGATGATGTCCTGGATGATCTGATCTATTATGCTGTGCAGTCGCTCACATCATGAGCTCCTGTTAGCCGTCAAATGAGAAAAGTGTAGTTCGGACGCTGCGAGAAAAACACTTTCCAACTGCAAAATACACTTTTAAGTATGCTGAAGCAAAGAGGATCTTACTGGTCATAACTAAAACATGATCAGACTTCACATAGGAGGCAGACTGAGCGAGCGATCTGAAGAATTCTGCATAGCTGGGGAGCAAGACGACCCCCGATGACTTCGGAGACAGAGATACAAAACCATGAGATTCAGAGGAGGAAAAACTCAAGTCATCACTTTTCTATTACTGTCTCCGTTTATGAGCGTAAGGTCGTGCAGTAGAGAGGAAAAAATTGACCACAACCACCACATTAAGGCTAGACTGAGCGTTGATTGAAAAAATGCTGTATGTAATATGGTAACGCTTCACCACGAAGCCATACTCATCACTAATTAAGACTCTGTCGATCCATGAGCGCACAGAAATAGTTTGATGATACTGGAAACTAACTTGTCTTGATAAATTTTACTTGTTAAGAGGGAATATCATGGGTTTCAACGAGAAAAATGTAAAAATTCAAGATGATTCTAACCTCAATCTTGGCTGTAAACAGCTAAACGGCCCTAGAGAGAGACAGACTGATGATTTTAGACCTGTTTTCAACTGCGACTACTCAGGTGAAATTTATCGATTTGAGGCGTTTAAAAGGTCGGATCCCCCTATTTTGACGGTTTAGAGTCGATTTCAGGAGTGACCTTAGTGGTTCCTGGCGTTTAAAAGGTCGAAAATTCGTTCTGAAATTTGAATGTTGTTTCTTACGGGGAAACGCCATTAGTGCAGCAAGGACAGCCAATTGTTTGGAACCCGAGACCGTAGTCTAAAGAATCAATGCTAGCTATGACGTCAGGACTAAATGATTCCATTATTTAAATATTTTAAGCCATAATAACAGTGACATAACCTAAAATTTGGCTTCTGGAGTCGGCACTCACCATCCACCGCGCGGGTTCTACGAGTTGTTTTCAAATTCAAATTTTTTGTAAAGAATTGACGGACCCGACTTCTTTCGATTAATTCTCTTTTCTAAGCAAATATAAGTCCGCAAACTTTTCAATGGTGTGATCCTTGGAGTCTACAGATGCCAATCATCCCCAGTGTGATGGGTTTTATGCTACCCTTACCTCCACAGCCATGGCAACAGATCCGACTTTCAGAACAGCAATAAACGACTTAATCATTAATTGTTCTCGATTACACCTCAACAATACCAAATTTCCAAAAAATCATTTTTAGTTTATGTAACGCTGATTCAAAATATCTATGCTTGTATGAGGTTTTTTTCTACAGTATAGCTGTAAGGTCTGTGAACTAAAGACGATGGTCCCTCCCGCGACCGAGCGTTTCGTGGGCCCCATATCTGCTCAACAATTCCATCATTGGCATGTTTTGGGGTCCAAAATTAGTCGTTAAAGCTTAATAACTTTATTAATATTTAACTAAATTTAAGAAACTAGGGCATTACGAGTAGAGCTGAGCATATTCTACCCAAATGTTATAGGGTTTTTGGGCTTTACTCTACGACTCAATTAGCAGGAGAGCTAAATGGACCGCATACCGTGCCGAAAAGCCCGATCGAGTTGTTTCGTGTATAACTAGTCAGGCAGCAACCACCCGTCTTTTGTTTTTTTTTTTTTTGGTCGTCAAATTTTTAGTGGAAGTTTTTTAGGATTGGGCCGGGGTGGCTACCGCCACCTAGAGTATATTGATGAAAATCAGCTTGGGATTTCAAGCCATGAAGTTATTGACCGCCAATTTTGTCTCTCTTTTTGTACCCTTTCTCTCTCTGGTGAGGAACTCCTCATTTGAAAAGGAAATATTGAGAGCTTAAAATTTTCCATCTACCACATAAGATAGGTTTTCTTACTATAAGAACGTGTCTGGAGCTACATTTCTGTATTGATTACTTTTCAGAAGTTTAGGGGGTGAGGAGGGGGATTTTTGGAACACCTCACAAGATCAGCCAAAATAGACTCCCCAGCATTACTAGGAAACGCCCCCTGAGTTTCAAAAGGGGACATGTAAAAGCGATCAAAGGCCCTTTAATAATTGACAAACTTCAACTTTTCTAATATATACTTAATAATTTACTTTTCTCCTCTTTGCTTTTTCTAGATCTAAAATGACTGCTGAAGATTTGGCAAAAGATTCAGTGTGGCTAGATAAGTCAAAGTATGATGAAGCTGAACGTGCCTACTATGAGAAGCTAAACAAGGTAATCCTATTTTTAAAGCCTAGCTCTTTTTATGACAATCACCTTGTCGTATCAACCTTTTAACCAACTTAAATTTTGCTCAAGGTGATTCGTCAAGCTCAAGTGACCTGGTCGAACTGGCATGCGATATGTCGCATTGGTTAGGTAAAAAATCTTGGCAGATTTTGAATTTTTAGCTAAACAAACGATGATAGCCTCTGCGTATTAGCCTAAGAAATCATTCTAAACTCAAACCTTAGCAAAATTCAGATAAATGAAAGGAGAATAGTGTTAAGAAAAAAATTTTTCATTTGATATATCTATCGATTTTTGTAGTGAATGCAAGATTTTTTTTCCTAACACTTCTGCTTTCAATTCTCTGAAATATGCTGATTATTAAGTTTAGAATGATTCTCTAAGTCTATGTACAAGGGCTGTCACCCTATTTTTGGCTTAAAATTCTAAATCTGCCGGGAATTTTCACCTAATCGATGCAATAAGTCGCATGTCAGTTCAACCACGTCACTCGAGTGCATGCATCTTTATGTGTACGCGTCACGCATCTTTTGTAGGGAACAAGTCCAATAATGTTTCCTTATATTAATGACTTGGTCAACTGAACTTCCTTCAAGTGAGCTGATTGCGTTAGAGACAAACTGAAGGGGTCTCTTGACTCTGAGCAGAATTTAATGTCCATTTGTTTGTTGTGATTTTGGGGTGTAACTGTAGTTAAAAAATCTTAACCTCAAATAATATCAGACATTTTGAGGTTGAAGGGGAAACAGAGCATGAGCCTCTGTTCTTTTCCACTTTTACCTTTGTAACTTTTGAGAGATTGCTAATGCGTTATTTTCTTTTCTCTTCATGTTTGTTATATTTTTTTAGGAACACAGTAATTTTGTGGCAAGATCACATATGCTTGACGGAACTTTTACCCTATTTTGCGTTTTTGGTGGTCATGGAGTATCTTAGATATTCAGTGTCACGTCAGCGTTTCCTTTTGAAACAAATACCTATCTATACAGGGTGGCCCAGACCTACCGTACCAGGCCTTTTTTTTGTTAGTTTGGGTCGCACGAAGTCCAGGATCGCGGGGATGAATAGGGAATCGACCCTAAGGAATCTGTATTTCATAGTCCTAGAGCCCCCCTGGCTCCCCTCGGGGGCTAAAAGGGGGGTCCGTACTTCTAAAGTCAGGGTTTATGTCAAAATTTTGAACTTATTTCATCAGAATCAGAATGTACGGAAATTTTCAACTTGAATCGACCCCAAGAAATCCAAAATCGGCCCATCCGGGTCCAATATACCAACTCCTAAAGGTGGGGGACAGGTAACCTCCACACCGGTTAAATTTAAAAGTTCAGAGACCCCCTGTGCCCCATCAGAAAAGTGTCTGAGGACAATGGGACCCTCAACTTTGGATTCCTTGGGGTCGATTACCCATGAATACACATTTTTTCCGAGTCTCCACGTCAATTTAACGAATTTGATTTTTTTTGAAAGGGGGCCCTGTCCCCCACCTTTAGGGTACGGTATGATTTTGGATTTCTTGGTGTCGATTCGTTAAAAATTTCCGTACGTTCTGATTCCGATGAAACAATTTCAAAATTTGGACATAAACCCTGACTTTTGAAGTACGGACCCCCCTTTTACCTCCCAAGGAGCGCCAGGGGGGCTCTGGGACCATGAAATTCGGATTCCTTGGGGTCGATTCCCCATTCATCCCCACGATGCTGGACTTCGTGCGACCCAAATTAACCACAAAAAAAAGGCCTGGTATGGTAGGTCTGGGCCACCCTGTAAAGTGAGAACGATGTCAGCACTATGTCATATTTTTAAACTTAACTTCTTAAAGTAGAAAGTGTTCGAATGCTTTGTTAAAAGTGGTTGGCAAACGTTTCAAATAGGAAGATTATTTCCACAATGCGGCAGAAATGGCATTTATTACATGTGTATGTGTAAATCATCAAAAATGTTGATGCTGTGCACTTCTTCCTTTACGTTAACACATACTACATCCACTACATTTTTAGAAACCAAGTAAGCGAGAGCTTTCCCTTCAGGCCAAGAAAGTTAGATAATAAAGAGGAAGTAGTGCCGCTGAAATGACCTTGCATAAAATTTCAATGAGAACCCCTGAATTAAATCAGTTATCCTTAAAGTCTCATGTGCCAGAAATGAGGTTCAGAGAAAAACTGTAAACATTTTATTAATCAGCTCACTCTAAATCTTAGAGTTCAGGAAAATTAATGTAGAAGATGATTATAATGTGAAAGCAGATTATAGTTTCTACAGAAATTATCCTAGACACACTGGCAGGTGTGAAACTACGAAAATCCATCAGGCCTTCACCGATGCCTCTGAGTATAAAGTTGGGACCCCAAAGGGCAGCCAACCTGTGCGTTAAACTTATCCAGAACGATTTATTGTTACATTTGTTATGACCCAAAGTTTGTAAAGCACGTTTTTTACTTTGTTTCTACCGAAAGAAGCTTTATTTGTAAGGACTGTTATTGGACCCACCCTAAAACTCCTCAACTTTTCAATTTTTTGCTCATCGAAGGTCTACATTGTATGGAATGCACCATGATTTGGTCATTTTCTGTCTCTTTTCGGGTCTAACACTGACCCAAACATGGATCTGAGGGTCAATTTTGGCGAAATATGCCGGTATTTCAGCATTCGACATGCTGCTTCATAATGATTCCATCAGAGAGGAGCAGGAAGTCCCTCAAGTATGTTTATTCGGGATGTAAGAGGGTCATTTTGGCAGATTTTCATCCATGTCAATTCTTGCGCTTAAAATTTTAAAAAAAACTTTGTCGACTTTCCCAGTTCTTCATAATTTTTAAAAATTGCTTAAAGATGGAGACTCATCTTACAAAAGAATTACACTCATGTGGCCGAAAATGAACGTGAGTGGTCAAAACCTTCCTCTAAGAGCTTTTTTGAATTCAAAATCCCCCAAAAATTGGGGAAAATCGCAGAGCCCTGAATACTGAATACTCATTTCAGTATTCGGGGCCTGTTCCTTGTCAAGCTCATTCAGCTAAGTCCTTAAACCTTGATTTTTTTTATGTTATGGCCGAATCGCTAGTGATTACATACAGGGTATCCCAAGAGTTCCTTCCACCCCCTCTTAAACGAGCACGTGCAAAACGAGCCATTTGGGGCTCGGGGCAGATACCTTTGAGACTTGCCCTATTCATTTACCAAACAATGTCCCATCTTTTCCCAAAGTTTCAAGCCCTCCAAAAATTTTGGGTAACGCGGCGGGGGGTCAAAGTTAAAAAACCCTGCCGCAAGCCGCAGGGTCTTTCCGTGGGGTTGCCGGCAAGGAGGGGACGGTTCTTTTTGTAGTCCGCGCATTTTCCGTGGCATAGGTGTATTTTCCGAAGGGTAGCGTCACATTGGGGAATGATATCATTTACCCTTCCCCTCTTGCCACAGATATGTTTCAAGAATCAGTTCCCCTTGGCTGATTAAACTTCACCCTGGATCCCAGTTATGATTTATACTAAATTCAGACCTATCCATTCCCTTTTTTTTATATTCTCACCTGAGCAGATTTAATATTGGGGAAAAATTAATTGGGGGTTGAGAAATATTTTCACGCAATGCAAACCCTCACCTCCTGCCTGTGAAACATATAAATGACCGCTAATACAAAACGCATGAGCCAATTTTGCTAAAATTCTTTAGGAAACCAGACTTATTGGGCCTCTAACTACCATTTAAAGGACCCCGCATACCTCTTATGGGAAGCTGCACCATGACTGAATGCTAATTTATTTATGTCTTTCGATTCTCCTCAAGATGCTGATAAAGTTATAATTTTGCTAACTTTCTACGATGCACCGTTTTCGCCAAAAAACCGCCTAGAAGATTCAATTATTCGGCGATAAAAAGTCAGAAAGATTCCTCATCTCAGTACTCGCGTGCAGTGTTCGAAACTCACCTTTGAATTTTAGGAGCCAATTGGCGCATCAAGCCCGATTTTTAGGCGCCATTGAAGATTTTTTAGGGGTCAAATTGACTTTTTGCCCATATATTACGGCGCATTTAGTGAAAAGTTAGATGCAAGATGTTTTCATAACAGAACTAGTAAGTAGCGTGTGTCAACAGAACTAATAAGCAGTGTGTGTCAACAAAGAAAGCATGGGAACTCTCGCACCCAGCGGCAGTCTTATCTCGGATTCCGCACGCCGTTTTGCTCGACCATGCAAATCAGATTCTTGAGAAGCACAAGAACAGGAAAGTCGGAAGGTCAACCGGACGAGAGCGGGAGGGAGATAGCCCCAGAGTCGGCAGGTACAGATAAGCAGAAGGACACGCGCTACGTTTTTTCCTTATTTACATCGGGCCTGTTCTCAAATGCTTCGTTCGTTTTTATTCATTGTCGCCGAATAATTGAATTTTCTCGGCGGTTTTTTTGCGAAAACAGTGCATCGTAAGAAGTTGGCGCAATGATAACTTTTGATCAGCATCTTGAGGAGAATCTAATGACACAAATAATTTAGCATTCGGTCATGGTGCAGCTTCCCATAAGAGGTGTGCGGTGTCCTTTTCGTTAATTTGAACTTTGATGGGCCGCCATTACGTCAAAAAGTAAGATTTTGACTTGCGGTTTGCGCCAAAATTTGTCTTTTTTTATCCTCTTCCGAATGTTGTGTCGCAAAAAGAGGGTTGCCATTTAAAAAAAAATGTTGGGGTCCGCAGCCCCACCCCACGGTAGGGGGGGCGATAATTTTGGGGGGCCCCAAAAGTAGCTAACCTTAAGCGATGAACATCCCCAAAGTTTCGTTTCAAAATATTAATTACGTAAAATTTTAGAGAGGGTGGAAGGGGTTTTAGGGACACCCTGTATTATATCTAACAATAAAACCTCCCATTGAGTTACGGCGCGGTGGTGCCACATATCATTGGAAAAAATCTAGGAAAATCAAGTTAAATTTTAAATGGGGTGGAAGGGACTTTTGGGACACCCTGCACATACATCAGTCTCCAGGGTGATCCCAAAG